GTCGCTATACAAATTCTGCTGAGTTTCCGCCAAGTTATAACACGTATCGGCTATGAAGTCATTTTTCAGACTGCTTTTCGCCCCTTTCCGTCCTTTTTTTTTCATTAAAATTTTGCAGAAATCTTTCGAATTGCAATACGCAGTGCACCTCGAAGCCGGATTTTTGGAAATCGTCAAGGGGGCCAATTAAGACGCCATTTTATACTCTGCATGATTATGCTATTATGGGCGGCTGTTTGTGCCATAGCACGCGTCACCATGCAGCAAATCCCATTGGTTTTGCATGCAGTGCTTGCCAGCCATTTCTAGGTTTCTTCCTCTATTCCAATTCCCTTCAAACTTAGTAGACATAGTCTCTAGCATCCCTTCAAGGTCACCGTATTCTTCGTTCCCCGGAAGCCCTCATGCGTGACCGTCCAGGCGCCATTATGTCCGTCTCGGGCCGTTTTGGTGGCCTTTCTTTCGCCCTACCTATCTCCACTTTCACAGAAGCTACATACTTCTTTTAAATTGCTCTGGATAGTCCGAGAGAAGCTATTTCGTTTGAACCGTAGAAACACGTGCGTCATTGCACATCGTTGTGACACGATTGCATGTCTAGTATTTTACTTGGATCTGTTTTTGTTCCCTCTTTGTGTTATTTAAAGATTATTATTTTTAATATGTGAAATCAGTACAAATTCGAGTAAAGGTTACGGGTATTGAATAAATCAATCTTTTATCTTTTATCTAGAGTGCAGCGTTTGTAACAAGTCGGCACCCAGTGATTTTTTTTTAAAGAGAAGGTTCACAGAAATGAGAAGAAAATAGGTAAATTATACCTCTACAGATTGATGAGAACCTTAAAAAAAATGGGTAAAGTACTTTTTAAGCCCTTACTGGTGTGGGGAATAAATTAAATGCAATTTTGACACCGTTTCCATAACCCACTCACAAAGTGAAATGACAGCGATAAAACACATGCGATAACGGTGACGTCACGGTGAGAATTACCCTACATAACACGTTCGGGACAATGTTGGATGCCCATTGCAATTTTTAAATGTTGCTTGTATATTTACCGCTAGTGGTGATGTAAAGTAATGAAGTAAAACAACCTCTCACAAAAAGGAAACGATTACTAGTTGGTGACAAGGGGTACCCACCAACATCTATACAGCCACGTAAACAAGTCTAAATTCACTCCAAGAATGAGATTCTCCATTACGCACAGGTCACCGTAGAATGCAATTACACCATGGCCTACCTTGATATTGGTGCTCTCATTTCACTCATCAAAAATCAATTTTGGTCTGGTATACCCCATACTCAGAGAGGGACGATTCACACAATCCTCTACATATGCACAGCAACTTCTGTAACAAGAGAGAGAGTATCGACATAGTGGGACGTGCATCACTCACCCTCCGTCTGGGCCACAAAAGCATTCAACAACGATTCCATGTAACCAAAATTATAAGTCACCCACTCATCCTAGGCTGGGATTTCATTTGTCAACATCAAGCTTCTATTTCACCAACCACTCTATTCCGAGATAAGGTGACTTCTAAGATGCCTTGAATTCATCATCCTTCTTCAGTGTGATGGACCTTTCCTGTGGTTAGCGGCAGGTCTCCCTCCATCCACATGACCACTAGAAAACTGCATTTGCGACAGGAAACCAGCCTCTATCACTTTAATGTGATGCCATTCGGACTTGTAAATGCACCAATGACCTTCCAGAATCTAATGAGCCAATGAAGGTAGCCCTTCATGGCCTGCATTGGTCAACATGTCTCATTTACCTTGATGACTGCAGTGTGATCGGCAGGGATTTTAATGAACATCTGAAGAGCCTAGCAGAAGTCCTTCAGCAGACGTTTCCGCATGGCTGGACTGAAACTCAAGCCTGGTAAATGTCAGTTCTTTAGCAAAGAAGTCGCTTATACCCTGCCCACTGCATCACAACAAATAGACGTCTTTACCTGACCCTGCCAACACGGCAAAAGTCTAGAACTGGGTTTCAGCCTACACCCAGCTGAAAATGGCACTGGTCAGTCCACTACTCCTCGCCTACCAAGACTTTGGGAAGGAATTCAGAATAGCAACTGATGCTTCAAGTGACACAGTTGGGGCCATCCAATCGCAAATCCACGACAACAGAGAGAGAGAGAGTAATTTATCCCTACTCACTCAGACACAAAGAAGATGCTCAACATTATTGTATCCCCCGGCAGTATGCCGGTGGGATAGTTTGGATTCAGCAGCGTTACTCAGCCGCGTCCGCCGCGTCATATTCTTGTGTGCGCTCTAACTGCCACATTCATTGACCGATTTCTTTCAAATTTTGAATGGAGGTGTATCGTGGTATATCTCAACACCTATAACTTTTCGTGATGCTGCCCCCAGTGTTCCGTCTTCTATAGGGTAAAAGGCCATATTTTTGTGGATGGTATGTGCGCGCTCTATGGGCCACATTTCCCAAGTAAATTCGATCAAATTTTGAACGAAGGTGTATCTTGGTATAATCAACAAGCCTATAGATTTTGGTGATGCTGCCTCTAGTGTTCCGTCTTTTATAGGGGCAAGGGTTATATTCTGATAGATGACTTGTGTGCACTCTAGTGTGCAGTCTAACTGCATCATTCCTTGACGGATTTCTTTCCAATTTTGTATGGAGGTGTATCTTTGTATAATCTACACATCTTTAACTTTTAGTGATGCTGCCCCCAGTGTTCCGTATACTGTATAGGTTAAAAGGCCATATTTGTTTGGATTATTTATGTGTGCTCTATAGGCCACATTTTTCAAGGGATTTTGTTCAAATCTGTAGCAAAGGTGTATCTTGGTTTATTCTACAAGCCTATAGATTTTGGTGATGCTGCCTTCAGTGTTTTGTCTTTTATGGGGTCATATTTTGATAGATTTCTTCTTGGCATTCTAGTTTGCGGTCTAACTGCATCATTCCTAAACGGATTTCTTTCTAATTTTGTTGGGAGGTGTATCTTGGTACAATCTAAACACCTACAACCGTTGGTGATGCTGCCCCAGTGTTCCGTCTTCTATAGGGTCAAAAGGTCATATTTTGATGGGTGTCTAATGTGCGCTCTGCAGGTCATATTTCATGACGGATTTTTTTCCAATTTTTTATGGAGGTGTGTCTTAGTACAATCTACACATCTTTAGTGTTTTGCGATGCTCCCACCTGTGTTCCGTCTGTTATAGGGTCAAAGGTCATATTTTGGTGGCTGTCTTTTGTGCGCTCTAACTGCCACATTTCTTGACAGATTTCTTTCAAATTTTCTACAGAGATGCGTTATACTCTGATCTACACACATTGTTTGGTGATGCTGCTCCTAGTCTTGACAATTAAGTCAGCAGCAATAAAGACGGCTTCATAATTATTCAGATACTTTTGGTTTCTAAAATCTACTTAATTACAAAATGCAAACATTTCTTGGGATAAAGCCAAACTGTTAATGTTTATACATTGTTATACTTTTTTGATAGAAATAGGTAGATGCCGTACATGAAAAGAAAGAATGTGGTAAAAAGTTAAAATTCGATAAACCTTTACTTTTAAACGCTGATAAAAAAGACAATGAATGAACCGGACACCAATGAAAGTTAATGGCGTGAAACAGAAATATATGTAGAGAGTGTGTGTTTAGGAACATAATAACGTGGTATAACTTTGAATGTAACTGTAAAGTTGAAATGTAATTGTGCCCCCCCCCCCATGCTCACGTTCGGATTGACGCCCATTCCTTTATCCGAGATGTTTTGCTGAGGCTTAACACCAAATTTGTTGCTGTTTTTTTATATTCTTCATCAGAGTTTACACATGGGTCATTCTTATGACCAGATTCATAAACATTTGTGCAGCATTTGAAAGACCGACAGATGTCGCGTTGATGAACACATCTGTTAGAATTTTTGTCGAGAACAAACAATATTAAAGATGTGCATGGGTAATTACATCGGAATCGCCTTAATTCCCCGAAACAATAGTTGATCCCATGCCGTCAAGATAGATTTCCACGAGCGCTGAGGGATTCGGAGAGCTACGTACATGGTCATAATGGTGGAATAATTATTTTTACCCCAATTTATTGAATGATTTTGACAATGATTTATTCCTAATAGATCTAGATAATAGTATACATTATCAGATTTTATTGAATGACAATTGGGGAGTGTTTGTTTTGCGTGACTGCTAAAGCATGTGTGTGCTACAATGCTAATCAACTAGGTGGCCTACGTCCTTAAGTCATAACTGACAGTAATGGGGATTAATACTTCATAAAAGGGCACTATAGAACATCGACACGGTTTTGATCCTGGGGGCTCACAGTAACGAGGCCATTGCTTAGCAAATGAATCATGACTGAACGCAGCGGGCGCTAGGGTATGTCGACGCCCCCACAAAAAAAAAAAACAAAACAAAGAAAATGCAACAAATTTTCATTAATTCATTGCATTTTGCCCCGACCCCAAACATAAACAATCTTCTATGTGGGCATGCCTTGAACCATAATGCATGGCCCTACAGAGGAATTTTTCCTGTTGGGGACTGGGGGAACATGCAATTAATTATTGAAAATTTTGTTGCATTTTATTTGTTGTTATTTTGTTTTTGTGGGGGCGTCGACGTACCCTAGCGCCCGCTGCGTACAGTCATGATTCATTGGCTAAGCAATGGCCTCGTTACTGTGAGCCCCCAAGATCAAAACCGTGTCGATGTGCTATATTAGTTCCCTTTTATGGGACATTAATCCCCATTACTGTTAGTTATGACTTAAGGACGTAGGTCCCGTAGTTGATTAGCATAGTAGCACACATATGCTTTAGCAGTCACGCAAAACAAACACTCCCCAATTGTCATTCAATAAAATCTGAGAATTTAAACTATTATCTAGATCTAATAGGAATAAATCATTGTCAAAATCATTCAATAAATTGGGGTAAAAATAATTTATTTTAGAAATTATTCAGAAGAATTGATCCACCCACTGACTTACCGTATCACTATCCATTTGTGAATACGAGGTTAAGACACCCATCTGAGTTGAGCTGTAGTCACCATTGCTATCTCTGGGAGGCCAACCTAAAATAAAGATGAAAATAATAACATGATCAATAATAGGCAAAGTTCATGGTGTATGGTCATTCATCCTCCCATATGGGTGTGTTTATTGTTGTTTAAAGCGTTCCATGTCCTACATGGTACAGAAAAATGTGAAGCCTGTTTGAACCGCAAGGAAAAAATAAGTAAAAAATTTCTTTTATTATGCAGTTTACTAGTTAAAAACCGACCAAAGCGCACTATATCAAATATTATGTGGGAGAAGAAGAAGAAGGAGATGAAGAATGAGAAAAAGAAGGAGAAGAAAAAGAAGTAGAAGAAATAGTAGTAGAAGAAGAAGAGGAAGAAAAAGAAGAGACTTTGATATGCCTAATACAAGAAAAATGGTTGAATAATCTTGTTAACAGTGTTCTTATCTAATAAGCATTAATTCCTGTTGTCAAATGTATGTATAAATCAATCCAGAACTTTAAAGTTTTAATCTATGAATTACCCTCGGGCACTTGCTGGGTTGGTTGACCAAATGGAGCCGGTCTGTTCTCATGAGCTGTCTTAGCCTGTGCCTGGCCCATCTGGCCCTGTGAACTTCCAGACGACGGTACGTATCCTAGCAACTCTGCTAAATGTTCTTGGTTGGCCTCGATCAGGGAATCTACTAGGCTAGTGAAGGCCCTCGGACCCCTCGTCTCTATCTCCATTAAGAGCAACATATTCTTCTCCCTCTGGTTGAGCCGTGACTTTAATAATCAATATAAGGAGAGAGATTTGCTTTTAAAATATATATATATTTCTGTATTACAGTAAAGTGGAATATCATTTTATATGTCCAAACATTACCAATAGAATGTCTTTGATTTAACCGTTCACATTTATCTCATCATCAAACGGAAAGTTGGCAATCAAATTAATTGGGACTATTAATGGTGTTTTGTTGTAAAAGTTAACTAACTAAAACACAGTTGATCGATACGCACTTAAAGACATCTTTGAATTAACATATAATCTCACTATCATCAAACATAAATTTGGCAAGCAACAAACAACTGGGAGTTTCAATGTTGCTCTAAGGTACAAATTGAATTATGAAAAGCACAACAAATACCTTTAGCTCTATAACAATATCAACACTGCTCTCATATTTTATTTGATGCAAACCCATAGAAATTTGTCTTGTTTGAAAAAACATTGAAAAAGAATATGTTAAACAATTAAAGGGAAAGTCCACAGACGGATATACGTTTGTTTGAATGAGAGCAGAAAATTAGAGTAAAAAAAAAATGTTTGACAAAATATTGATACACATTTTGCAAGATATGAATTGTTAAAGTTGTAATCGATCAAAGGCGAATTGGCAACTCTAAGCTGTAACTTTTGAGCATCTCTCCAAATATCGCTCTAAACTGAAATTGTCATAAATTTCCATTTTCTTGGCTTTTGGTGATGAATTAGCTTATATTAGTCATGTTACTATTATATAAAAGCGAATGGAAAATATTCTCGACAGAGAATGAAAACGATCGTTTTATACACAGAAAATTGGAGAGATCCGTAAAAGAGATGTCTCAGGCTTGCCAATTTGTGTTTGATTGGTACAAATGAATATCATGGACATATGGAATTTAACTTACGTCTAACCACTCTTTGTACTGTTCTTCAAAGATGCCTCGGGCGACAAGGCCCGAGGCCACGCTTTCAAAGTCCATGTCATTTGAGAGGGCATTGTTGTTCCTCTGTAGGGTCTCTCTATCCGCCTGCTCCATTGTTGACGGCGCACCCCCGCTTCTTTGACTGTGTGGCGGCGGTCTCCGCGTTTTTTGACTGTGTGCTACACAACACTAAGCAGTGAAAATGATATATATGGGAGTAGTGAGTGATTATGCTTGGAGAAAACTCAATTAAAAAACTCTGGAAATATCTAAGATAGCTCTGGTAAAAATGAACAAGATCCAAAATACACTATGTGGTGTAAATTGTTTTCAGGTGGATATAAAATCTGAGCTAAATATGTGTTTTCTTTTCCATTATTAAAGAAGAAAAAACGAATAGCATGTGTAATATCATAATTTCTCCTCAAGGTTAATATCTACTTTAAACATTTTGTTTCTTGCGTTAATATAGCTGATACATTTTTTCTCTCAAATTACAATAAATTATTTGCTAAGTTGGTAGAAAGCATTTTTTTCCATCAGAATACAGTTTATAACATTGATATTTATTTCTTTCATAAATATACATGTATATTCAAAAAGCAATGCGTATACCGTGTGTCTCAAAAAAAACGTAACACTTTTGAAATGGTTGCCAAATTGAGCATATATAATTTTATGAAAAAATGTCTATATGTATGGAAAGCTAAAGGACCAACCTTTCATATGATATGAAAAAATTAAAAAAAAAATCATGCTTCGATGGACAGTGTTCACTTAAGTTAGAGGTATGAAAATGGGCCTGCGCAGGATTTTTCCTTCCAATTTTGGACAGGTAAATTACTTGTAACTTACAAAATAAGGTCGATATGAGATATTCATGATCGATGGATCAAAAGGATATTTTGAATCAAAAGGATATTTTGAATACCTCGAATACCATTCCTTTTTCAGTGTTATTTATCAATCCCGAAACACCACCGCCCACCCCCCCCCCCACACACACACACACACACACACACACTTCCACCCACTCCCATCTCATTGTATCATTGATCTGGTAGATGTGAACGGGATTAAGGAAGAATGGGAATTGGCTAAATTGAAATATTCCAAATCATAATTGACATTACGCAACCCACTGTCCTCCCCCTCCACACACACACACACACACACACACACACACACACACACACACACAACCTTCTTCCCATCCTCTCACCTACTCCTTGCTTTTTTATCAGTTTTCTTCCGAAAGTTTGGTGGATCATTTTTTCCATTAATAATCAAATTAACCAGTCACTCATTTTGATCATTGAAATCAATCGATAAATCACTGAAACATTAATTCCATCAAGCAATTGCTCAAACCAATTATCACACGCACACAAACCACACACACACGCACGTACACACACACACATATACGCGCACACACATACACACACGTGCACACACACACACACACACATTAGGGCAGACATGACAAAAAACAAGTTAAATCTTTTTTTAAAAGATTTTCATGTTTCTTTTATTTCTTTCTTATTTAAAACTGCTTTGTTCATCTTAAAATGAAAGATCTGACAAAAGTAATCAGTTCAGTAGTCCACATGGCTATCTTTTCTTCTTGATTGAATATCAAGGCTTTCAAAGTACCGACTGAGTAAGGGTACCGGTAAAGATAAAAGTCTTTCACATTAATGATCGACGTGTCCACCTTCTCTCTCGATACACGATCTTGCCCGTTTCAGCATGTCCAGAACAGCTCTCCTGACTGTGGCTCTGTCTTGACGAAGGACATCAATCTCATGGGTGATTCTCTCCTTGATATCATCCAGCGTGTCGGGAGGTGTGGTGTAGACCTTGGCCTTGAGCCATCCCCACAAGAAGAAGTCGAGAGGCGTCATGTCAGGTGAACGTGGAGGCCATTCAACTTCGCGGTTGAGGGATATCACTCGATCACCGAAGAGCTGGGTGAGGCGCTCTGTGACATCCCTGGAGCGATGGCAAGGTGCCCCATCTTGCGCCCACCATACGCGTTGAAACCGTCCATTCCTGCCACGGCGATACCTTGCAACTCTATCGAGGGCAGGGACAACATGTCCATCTATCATCTGGAGATAGGCTTCACCGTTGACATTGTTGTCAAAGAAGATGGGCCCAATGATGTCCCCTCTGCCAGTGAGACCGGCCCACACCGTCACCTTGGACCGGTTGTACTTCCTTTGGTAGTCGAACTCTTCTGGAGGATGCCCTTTATCCCGGTATGCCACAAGATTGTGCGTGTTGACCTGGGCATTGAGAGCGAAACCGGACTCGTCCCCTATCAACAAGTCATCTAAGAATCGCGCCGGCCTTCGGAGTAGCCACTCACAAAATCTTGTGCGACGCTGACGATCTCCTGGGAGAAGCTCGTGTCTCTTGATCATCTGGTAAGGGTGGTAGTGAAGATCAAGTAGCGTGATCCTGTTGAAGGTGGCGTGGGGTAGATCTGTAGGGTTTCGCCGACAGCTGATGTCTCCATCCTGATGATCCTGAATGGCTTGACGAACCACTTCAATATTCTCTGCCGATCGTCCAGTCCTGAGGCGTCCTGATCTTCCTCGGTTCAGATTATGGCTCGTCCCCGTTCCCTCGTACTTGGCGACATTGCGGTACACGGTAAGACGCGAAGGGCAGCGTACATCCGGGTAGACTTGTCTGAACCTCTGACAGACTGCTGTAACATTGTTAGTTCGATGATACTCAGTTACCATGAAAGCACGCTGCTGATTTGTGAATTGGGGTCGTTCCATACTGACAACATGGCATAAGATGGACTGTTTGAAGGCTATGTAACAACTTAATGCAGTTATTTTTACTCTTAAACCTGTAATGTGTAATACCATGTTTTTGCCTCTTTGTTTTAGTATTAAACAGTGATTTTGGATAAAGAGGATTATGTAACAGTTTCTGGCTACTCAGTGTTCAGGCCAATGAAGAATAACAATGCAATGTCATACGGTATTCCATGGACAGGTGATAACAAGTTCAAATGTGGGGAAAGAGAAGGGGTCTGGTATTTTCAATGCATAATGAATGATGTACTTAGCTATTACATGTTTGGGTCATTCATAAAACCTGAATAAAATGTGATTGATGATCCACCAAACTTACGGAAGAAAACTGATAAAGAAAAGGCAAGGGGTAGGTGATGGGATGGGAAAAGGTTGTGGGGGGGAGGAGAGTGGGTTGCATAATGTCAATTATGATTTTGAATACGGTATTTCAATTTAACATTTTCCCATTCTTCCTTAATCCCGTTCACATCTACCAGATCAATGATACAATGAGATGGGAGTGGGTGGAAGTGTGTGTGTGTGTGTGTGTGTGTGTGGGGGGGGGGGTGGGCGGTGGTGTTTCGGGATTGATAAATAACACTGAAAAAGGAATGGTATTCGAGGTATTCAAAATATCCTTTTGATTCAAAATATCCTTTTGATCCATCGATCATGAATATCTCATATCGACCTTATTTTGTAAGTTACAAGTAATTTACCTGTCCAAAATTGGAAGGAAAAATCCTGCGCAGGCCCATTTTCATACCTCTAACTTAAGTGAACACTGTCCATCGAAGCATGATTTTTTTTTTAATTTTTTCATATCATATGAAAGGTTGGTCCTTTAGCTTTCCATACATATCAACATTTTTTCATAAAATTATATATGCTCAATTTGGCAACCATTTCAAAAGTGTTACGTTTTTTTTGAGACACACGGTATATTAAAATTTTGATAAGAAATAGTTGTATTAAAATGGTGAAAAGGGTCTTACTATCAAATGCAATGAGGGCTTTACTGTGATAACTGTCATATAAATCTTGTATTCCACGAATCGAGAATCTGTCTAGTTGCAAGGGGCATCTATCCAAGGGGTACTACAGCGGTGCCAATATTGCCCAAATTAACGTTCCAAACCAATTCGCAGTACTTTTATCCCCCTTGTATATAGTTTAAATAACAGTTTGTTTGAACCCACAATGGTTAAACTTGCATGTTGTCCCCCAAACTCAGCATGTCATCTCAAAGACAACAAATGTCATACTAGCTATTTGTCAACCCAGTTGGGGCGTGGCCTGGCGGGGCACTCGTATAAAAAAAGTGTTCATGTTGCTAAGGGAAAATAATAATTAACATCCAAACTTCTTGTACCATTGCGTTCAAAACTCTTAAAATGAAAGAAAATGCATAACTCTGAAAGCTTCAAGTGCATTGCTCCGAAGGGGTGGGCGTGGGGGATGAATTTTCCCATTTTCACTTTCTGAATTTTTCTTGCACGGTTATCATTCTGGCCATATTTTGAACAGTGTTTTACCCCTAGATTTTTTGTTTTCAATTTCATCATTTTTGTTATTTTATTTTCATTTTCTGAATTGCATGCATGATTTACAGGTATTTGGTTTAAATATATAACAAAACACATATTATATTTACAATTCATTATTAAACAATAATTCGACGAAAAAACTCAGTAAAACTCAAAAAGAGAAGAAAGAAATAAAGGAAAATTGTGAAGCAGGAAAATAAGGAGAAAATGAAAGGAAAGTTGAGGAAGAGGGAGTGGAGAGAGAATGGGAAAGGGAAAGGGAGAGAGAGAGAGAGAGAGAGAGAGGGTGAAGAAGAACAAAGAGAGAGATGAACACGAACACAGAGCTTGTATAATATGATACAAATACAAATTTTTTAAAATGTAATAAAAAAAGGTTATTTCATCCAATAGTGGGAATCCACTTCAAAGGATTTGATTTACAAAAAAGTAATTTTGAGGCAAAAGAAAAAAAACATTTCCATATTAACAGGCAACATTCATCTTCAATTCATTATTTTGTGTGTGCTAAAACTCTAAGTTCAGGTTTTCAGCATTAGAGTTCAACAGTTTGATAATTTGTGGCATTGCGCTATTTTTGTAACGTTGTGTCCTATACTTCAGTTCTCGTAACCGGTTACTGTGTCTTAATAAGCTGTCATAATTTGCTCATCTGACCGTGATTAAATGCCTAAAACCCTTGACTTCCGGTGGCTCTGCCCCCTGGACCCCACATAGGCCTCAAAGTGGGCCCCTGGATGCCCATCTG